TGTGGGCAATTTTACAAATTTGAACAAAATAGTAAAAAATGTGGATTTGGGTTAACTGATAGAGCTGGAACACTGAAATTTGGAAATAATGGTACTGTTGGATTGGTGTATAGATGTAGTTTTGGAAATTCATGCTTATGGGTACTAATGATCCTGAAATTTAGAGTTAGGATCATTGTTTGAATATAGAATTGGGTTTTGTAGAAACTTTTTGAAATCTTTTTTAAGCTCGGCTTATGGAACAACCGTTCTGTAACAAGCCAGCTAAGTAGTACTAATGTTTACTAAATGGTACCAAATTTGGATTTGTGTGAACCGATAGAGCTGGAATCTTCAAATTTTATGTTAGGATCAATGTTGGGGTGTAGGATTGGGCTTTGTAGAAAGTTTTGGAAATTCGTACTAATTTGTACCAAATGGTGCCAAATGTGGATTTGGGTGTGCCGATAGAGCTGGAGCACTGAAATTTGGAAATATGGTTAATGTTGGAGTCAGGGACGTACCCGGGGGGCCCGAGCCCCCACCGAAATTAATTTTTTTCACAGTAAATCTATGTTTGCAACAGCGATTTTTTTCAATGTTGAAATCCTGTGTACGTTGCTGGTTGGAGTGTAAGATTGGGGTATGGATGTATTTTTGGAAATTCATACTTACGGGTACTAAATGTACTAAATTTGTTACAATCAGAATTTTGGGCGAACTTATAGATGTAAATATAGCTGATATATATTCAAATGCAATAAGTGTATATGGGAAATTACAAAACTCTTTTAAATTCCTTGAAGCTGAGGTTTGCAAGGTTATAACTCGCGAAATATGAACATATTGCATATAATTTAAATTCATTTCTATAAAATGAAGTGTTCCTGTCAAAATCTAAAAATATTGGTAATAAATAAGAGGTTTGGTGGAAGCTGTGATGGTGGTAATGTATAAAAATGGGTGAAAATGTGTTGAAGCCAACGAGTTTTTTTGTGTTCCTTCCTGATTTGTGGCTAGACTACACAACGCACGCACATGTGATCAGTGACTAAGTTGCAGAATACCCCATGGACAATATGGTTCTAATGTATGATTTTTCGATATAATCACTGCATCCACCCGAAACGGATGCTGATATATTTAAGCCGGATTTTCGATGTTTTTTGAATTTTTCTTATAATTAGGATGTGCATCCATATAATGGACTAAACTAATTATAGGATTGTAGAACTCGTGATTGTAGAACTCGTGAATGTGCTCACCGTAGCTTCTTTGCAATTGGGTTCCAAAGGCGAAAATTTGGTGCGTAAATTTTTATAAAAAAACATATTTTGTGAGTCTAAAATTAAGAAAGTCCATTCAAATTCCGTGGAACCCTGCGTGGTTTTAGTTTTTTTACGTGCCGGATCTAATGAGCCCATCCATGTGTACTAAATTTGGTACAATTTAAATTGTCTTTTAAGCGATAGAGTTGGAATACTGAAACATGGAAACAATTTAAATTGTGGCTGAACCCAAAGAGTTGGAATCCTGAAACTTGGATTTAGGATGACTGTTGATTGAGATATGTAGGAATTTTTCGAAATTTGTACTAATGTGTATTAAATTTGGAACAATTTAAATTGTGGGTGAAGCAATAGAGTTGAAATCCTGAAATTTGGAGTCAGGATTACTGTGGGGGTGTATGATTGTGGTATGTAGGAATTTTTGGAAATTGTACTACTGTGTACTAAATTTTGTACAATTTAAATTGTGTGTTAAGAGAAGAAAAACAATTTACAAAATGTTGTTGTTGTTTTTGGTGATTGAAGTATAGTCCTTATTTTTATGGCGGGCATGATAACTCCTTACTGGAACATCGGAATCCGAAAATTCCAACGTTGTTTGAAAGAGTACATGTCTGGCTCTCGTATGAACTAGGATTATAGACTTCGCTCTAAAATTAACAAAATGGCGGTCCTTTGAAAAAATATTTTTTGAAAATCGCCGATTTTGGACCAAAAACCAAGTTTAAAATAAGGAAGATCTTCACCGATTGGCTTTATCCTAGTTCATACGATAGCTATACACTCACAGAGAAACGTGTAAAAATTTGAAATCGATTAGGTTATTAGCTTTTGAGTTATCGTGCCCGCCATTCGCAAAAGAGAAAAACGCGTTTAAAGTTTGAGAAACCCTTTAGCCGTCACTTCATGCTGACACAATAAATCGGCTATATCTTCAAGAGTTCTTGAGATTTTCACTTGAAATTTTGTAGGGACATTCTTGAATTAGTGTAGATTCGAGTTAAATCAAAAATATTTTTGATCCCGAGAATGGGGGGCCCCCTTAAGCGATAGAGTTGGAATCCTGAAAAATGGATTTAGGATCACCGTGAGAGTGTAGGTTTAGGTTAAGTAGGAAGTTTTGTAAATTCGCACTACTGTGTACTAAATTTGGTAAAATTTAAATTGTGGGTGAACCAATTGCAATCCTGAAAGTTGAATTTTGAATCATTGTTGGGGTTTAGGATCTGGGTATGCAGGAACTTTTATTGGATGGTTGAGGTGGGTACTTTTGAAAATAATTTGTGTGATATGAAACTACGTTGATACAATTTGGATTTGGGAGAACCTTTAGAGCTCGAATCATGAATTTTGGAATGCGAATTAAGGTTGAGAAGTAGGGTAGATATAAGGACGTACTCATGTTTACGATAATACTATATGATACTATATATGGTACAATTTTTTATTGGTGGTCCACATGGAGCTGGAATTCTGAAATTTGAAAATAACATTACCGCCGGAGTGCAGGATTGGAATGTTTACGTAGTTTTGGAAATTTTTTTTACATATGTGTACGAATAGTACTATATCGTACTATAATTGGTACAACTTAGATTTGGAGCTGAGATACTGAAATTATTATCATTGTTGGCGTGTACTATATAGTACCAAATTTGGATTTAGTGAACCGATAGAACTGGAATCTTGACATTTGGAGTTAGGTTCACTGTTAAGGGTAGAATTGAGCTATTTAAGAAGTTTTGGATGTATGACGTTTTGGAAATTTGTACTAAATGGTAACAAATATGATTTGGGTAAACCGATTAAGCTGGACTCTTAAGCTTTGATGTTAGGATCACGGTTGGGGTGTACGATTGGACTATGTAGAATGTTTTTAAAATATGTACTAAAGTGTACTAAACTTGGTACAATTTAAATTTTGGGTGAACCAATACAGCTGGAATCCTGTAATTTGACGTTAGAATTACTGTTGCGGTGTAGGATTGGGATATGTGGGCAATTTTACAAATTTGAACAAAATAGTAAAAAATGTGGATTTGGGTTAACTGATAGAGCTGGAACACTGAAATTTGGAAATAATGGTACTGTTGGATTGGTGTATAGATGTAGTTTTGGAAATTCATGCTTATGGGTACTAATGATCCTGAAATTTAGAGTTAGGATCATTGTTTGAATATAGAATTGGGTTTTGTAGAAACTTTTTGAAATCTTTTTTAAGCTCGGCTTATGGAACAACCGTTCTGTAACAAGCCAGCTAAGTCAGTACTAATGTTTACTAAATGGTACCAAATTTGGATTTGTGTGAACCGATAGAGCTGGAATCTTCAAATTTTATGTTAGGATCAATGTTGGGGTGTAGGATTGGGCTTTGTAGAAAGTTTTGGAAATTCGTACTAATTTGTACCAAATGGTGCCAAATGTGGATTTGGGTGTGCCGATAGAGCTGGAGCACTGAAATTTGGAAATATGGTTAATGTTGGAGTCAGGGACGTACCCGGGGGGCCCGAGCCCCCACCGAAATTAATTTTTTTCACAGTAAATCTATGTTTGCAACAGCGATTTTTTTCATTTTGTACTATCGGCCCCCCCGAAATGAAATCCTGTGTACGTTGCTGGTTGGAGTGTAAGATTGGGGTATGGATGTATTTTTGGAAATTCATACTTACGGGTACTAAATGTACTAAATTTGTTACAATCAGAATTTTGGGCGAACTTATAGATGTAAATATAGCTGATATATATTCAAATGCAATAAGTGTATATGGGAAATTACAAAACTCTTTTAAATTCCTTGAAGCTGAGGTTTGCAAGGTTATAACTCGCGAAATATGAACATATTGCATATAATTTAAATTCATTTCTATAAAATGAAGTGTTCCTGTCAAAATCTAAAAATATTGGTAATAAATAAGAGGTTTGGTGGAAGCTGTGATGGTGGTAATGTATAAAAATGGGTGAAAATGTGTTGAAGCCAACGAGTTTTTTTGTGTTCCTTCCTGATTTGTGGCTAGACTACACAACGCACGCACATGTGATCAGTGACTAAGTTGCAGAATACCCCATGGACAATATGGTTCTAATGTATGATTTTTCGATATAATCACTGCATCCACCCGAAACGGATGCTGATATATTTAAGCCGGATTTTCGATGTTTTTTGAATTTTTCTTATAATTAGGATGTGCATCCATATAATGGACTAAACTAATTATAGGATTGTAGAACTCGTGAATGTGCTCACCGTAGCTTCTTTGCAATTGGGTTCCAAAGGCGAAAATTTGGTGCGTAAATTTTTATAAAAAACATATTTTGTGAGTCTAAAATTAAGAAAGTCCATTCAAATTCCGTGGAACCCTGCGTGATTTTAGTTTTTTTACGTGCCGGATCTAATGAGCCCATCCATGTGTACTAAATTTGGTACAATTTAAATTGTCTTTTAAGCGATAGAGTTGGAATCCTAAAACATCGAAACAATTAAAAAAAAACCCACAGAGTTGGAATCCTAAAACTTGGATTTAGGATGTTTTACATTTCCAGTTTTTTATTTCAGACTTTTTATTGATTATATAATTCACTTGTTACAACTAAAGAGAATTAAGTAATGACTTACAAAAATGACAATAGAAATGTCAAAACAGAAGAATATTTATAGGGTTGCCAAAGATTAAAAACTAAGAATTGTAATACTGATTATAATTAGAATTGCATATGCAACATTTCTTCACCACCTTAGGGGGAGAATAACACGCGAGGCTTTCTCTGTCTGGTTGAACGTCTGGGAACTATTACTGGAGTGGGTATTCGGCGGCCGGTAGGAGTACTATTTTCGACTTCGGATATTTCCTGATCTACTTCGATTAATTGTTCATTCGTCTGTTGACTATCCGAACTATCCTCATTTCTGCCAGATTCTCCTGTTGGTGTAGAATGTAAAACCACATTGTTTGAATTTCTCCTCGGCATCTGTCCTACCATTGGTGTACTCGTTCGGCACATAGTACTGGGCTTCGGTCTTTGTGGCACTCTACTGTTATTTCCGGTATGAAGTGTATTAAATTTCGCCGATCGAATTTGATCAATATGTCTTTTTAATAACTTTCCTCCGTATTCAATTTGGTAATGCAGGTCTCCTATACGTACACATCTTGTTTGTACACATCTTTCAACCTGACCGTTGGCCGCTGGATGATATGGAGCAGACTGTTTATGGTATACAACGCCACTATTTTTCAGAAATTGCCTAAATTCTTCCGATGAAAAGTTCGTCGCATTGTCCGACACCACGGTCTTGGGAACACCATATGTAGAAAACATTTCATCCAGTATTGAAATTGTTGCAGAAGACGTAGATGTTGAAGTCATTTTGACTTCCATCCATTTACTAAATGCATCCGTTACAATTAAAAACATAGAATCCAGGAACGGTCCAGCGTAATCGATATGAATCCGTTGCCATGGTCCACTTGGGTATTCCCAATGGTGCTCTCCGAATTTGGTTGGTTTGTTAGCTATCATGGCACACGCATTACATGCCTTCGCAACCTTTCCGATATCTCTGTCAATTAACGGCCAATATACAAAGGATCGTGCCATTCCTTTCATTTTCACTATACCCAGGTGTGCTGCATGGAGATCCTTGAGTATCTTTTCTCGAAGTACCGATGGAACCACTACCCTGTGTTCAAACGTAAGACAACCTGATGACAGCTGATAATTTTCTTCAGGCGCTGCGTATCCTGCTCTTCTCAGGCAGTGGCCCGACTCCAGAAGTTGGACAATTTTCCCTAAATGTTGGTCTTTTTTAGTTTCCAGGGCAATATGAGATGCTTTAATTGGCAACTGCTTAATCTGCCGGATAACAAATTCGTCGAATTCATCCCCAGGATCCATCGAAGCATCTATCGCCACCAGATTCGTATTTACCTGTAAAATGTTGGTGGTCTGCATTATTCTCGAACAGTAGTCAGCATTTGCATTGGCCTTCGTTGGTTTGCAGATTATTTTGTAATTAAAGTTACTGAGGAAGTCGGCATAGTTAGCCATGCGGCTAATGCACAGTGAAGATAAACTCTTTTCTGGGTGCAAAATTTGTGAGAGCGGCTTATGATCTGTTACCAGCGTAAAATTTATAGCATACAGGTATTTAAAGAATTTTTTAACAGCCCATACTATCGCCAACGCTTCTTTGTCGATTTGCGGGTACTTGAGTTCTGTTGAAGTTAACGTGCGGCTGGCGTACGCAATGGGTCGTTCTAAACCATTCGGGAACCTATGTGACATCACAGCGCCCAATCCCGTTTTACTAGCGTCTGTTGCTAAAATCAATGGAAGTGAAGGGTCATATGGTGTTAGTACTTGAGGAGATATTAGAGCATTCTTAATTTGTTCATATGCCTCACTCGCATCTTTCGTCCATTTAAATTCTTGTTGAAGTAGCATGTTTCTCAAAGGTCTCGATTTCGCAGCAAGGTCCGGTAAAAATGCGTTGTAGTATGTAGCTTTTCCCAAGAAAAGCTGGAGATCCTCCGGAGTTAACGGTTTAGGGGCGTTTTTGATGGTATCAATATGTTTACTTGATTTGTGTATACCATGAGAGTCGATTCTGTGCCCTAAAAACTCAATTGCTGGTGCTGCAAAAACACACTTACTGCGATTTAAATGAAGGCCATGTTGTTTAATTTTATTTAATATTGCCTCAAGACTCGAAATCATTGTATTAAATGAATCGGCATATACTAAGATGTCGTCGAAAAAACTTAACACGTTGGGAGTATCTCTCAGTACTGCCTCCATGCGTCTCTGCCAGATGGCTGGTATATTTGCGGCACCATAAACTGCCCTCCTTGGCCTAATTAATCCATGAGTAGGAGTGTTCAACGTCAACACATGTGCAAATTCGTCATCTGTAGGTGTGAATAGGCGTCAGTTACATCTAAGTGGCAAAAAATCGTTGACCCTCTCATCTTATGCAATAAATCTTCAATTTTTGGTATGGGATGCTCGTCAATAATAATTTGAGGGTTTACTGTAGGTTTATAATTTCCGGTTATCCGTATTCTTCCTCCTTTCTTTATTACAACATGTGTTGTTGATGCCCACTCTGAGTATTCCACTCGTTCATACAACCCAGATTCAATTTTTGAATCAATTTCCTTGATATATTCTTCACGTAACGCTATCGGTATATCTCGTGCTTTTAGAAAAATCGGTTTTGCATCTGGTTTCAAATGAACTTTTGCTGGCGGTCCTATTAACTTCCCTGCAACGTCAGAAAATACACCGTCGAATTTGTCAAGTAATTGCTTGAGAAGAGCTTGCTCACTGTGTGGCAATTCTGGTGTCGCTGTAGTGATACTATTGACCTTGCTTGAAGATTTGAAAAGTTGTACAAAATTTATTTGGTCCACAAACTGCTCGATCCATTCTCTTCCCATTAGTGTGTCAACCTTGCCATCAACCACGTATAAATTCAATCTACAAACCTTGGTTCCAAGCTCAACGGTGACAGGCAGGCGACCTATTCAATTTATTTGATGGCCAGAGTAGCTAGTGAATTGTCTTTTTGTTGGCAGAAGTTTAAAACGGTCCTTGATTAAATGCATATTACTGTTGCTGATTATAGAACAAGGCGACCCAGTATCCAATTCCATCCTCACGAACTTGCCTTCTATAGAAGTTCTCACAAATTTTCTTCCACTACTTTTAAAATAATTTACCAGCTCAACTTTATTCAAATTTTCTGTATCGTCGGCAGGAGTTTCATCATCCAATTCCGCTAGCTGGAATGTTTTGCTTCTGCACATCTTGGAAATGTGACCTATTTTGCCACATCGGAAACATTTAGCTTGCCTGAATTTGCACATGCTCCGCGGGTGCATTCCGCCACATCCATGACACGCAGTCTGTACTTCAGCGTCCCTCGGTACCATGCGCCCTTTCTGCCTAGAATATTTCGTTGATGCTTGCATTTTGTGGACATCTTCCACCTTCGCCGGCTCTAACTTCGCAATTTCTGTTGTAGTACAATGAGTCAACTCCATAGTTTGTGCAATCTCGTACGCACTATTAAACGTTTCTGGCTTGCTATTAATAATTCCATCGCATATGTTGCGTTCCTTCATTCCATGCAGAAACTGCTCTATTAACATGCGATCTAAAAATTCTGCATAGTCGCAGTGGACTGCGCCCTGCTTTAAACGCAACGCAAAGCTTGCAATTGACTCCTCCTCTTGCTGAACTATTTTTCGAAACTTAATACTCTCAGCATATTTATTTCTCTTGCTGTCGAAATGATTTATGAGTATTTCCTTTATTTCACCGAACTTTAAGGATTCTGGGCTTTTTGGACTAACCAAAATCTTCAACGCGTTGTTTAACTCACATCCCATGTGAACTCTGGCATAATTTGGGTACTCGCTTTCATTTATCTTACTTAATTTCAGTGCCCATTGGAATCTCTCGAAGTAATCTTTTACAGAAGAGTTCTGCTCCGACCTATATTCCGGCATCGAAAATGTTGGGCCTCTCGATGGAACTTCTGTTGGCGCAGCAGCATTTGCAACAGCAGCTTGCCTCAACCACCGCTTTCCGTATTGCTTCTGCCAGTGAAGCCGACAATGCCTGCATATCACCTCCTGTAGCCATCCTTTTTGTTTTTTTTTTTTCAGACTCACTTCTGACACCAATTTTACATTTCCAGTTTTTTTATTTCAGACTTTTTATTGATTATATAATTCACTTGTTACAACTAAAGAGAATTAAGTAATGACTTACAAAAATGACAATGGAAATGTCAAAACAGAAGAATATTTATAGGGTTGCCAAAGATTAAAAACTAAGAATTGTAATACTGATTATAATTAGAATTGCATATGCAACAGGATGACTGTTGATTGAGATATGTAGGAATTTTTCGAAATTTGTACTAATGTGTATTAAATTTGGAACAATTTAAATTGTGGGTGAAGCAATAGAGTTGAAATCCTGAAATTTGGAGTCAGGATTACTGTGGGGGTGTAGGATTGTGGTATGTAGGAATTTTTGGAAATTGTACTACTGTGTACTAAATTTTGTACAATTTAAATTGTGTGTTAAGAGAAGAAAAACAATTTACAAAATGTTGTTGTTGTTTTTGGTGATTGAAGTATAGTCCTTATTTTTATGGCGGGCATAATAACTCCTTACTGGAACATCGGAATCCGAAGATTCCAACGTTGTTAGAAAGAGTACATGTCTGGCTCACGTATGAACAAGGATTATTGACTTCGCTCTAAAATTAACAAAATGGCGGTCCTTTGAAAAAATATTTTTTGAAAATCGCCGATTTTGGACCAAAAACCAAGTTTAAAAATAAGGAAGATCTTCACCGATTGGCTTTATCCTAGTTCATACGATAGCTATACACTCACATAGAAACGTGTAAAAATTTGAAATCGATTATTAGCTTTTGAGTTATCGTGCCCGCCATTCGCAAAAGAGAAAAACGCGTTTAAAGTTTGAGAAACCCATTAGCCGTCACTTCATGCTGACACAATAAATCGGCTATATCTTCAAGAGTTCTTGAGATTTTCACTTGGAATTTTGTAGGGACATTCTTGAATTAGTGTAGATTCGAGTTAAATCAAAAACATTTTTAATCCCGAGAATGGGGGTGGGGGTCCCCTTAAGCGATAGAGTTGGAATCCTAAAAAATGGATTTAGGATCACCGTGAGAGTGTAGGTTTAGGTTAAGTAGGAAGTTTTGGAAATTCGCACTACGGTGTACTAAGTTTGGTAAAATTTAAATTGTGGGTGAACCAATTGGAATCCTGAAATTTGAATTTTGAATCATTGTTGGGGTTTAGGATCTGGGTATGCAGGAACTTTTATTGGATGGTTGAGGTGGGTACTTTTGGAAATAATGTGTGTGATATGAAACTACGTTGATACAATTTGGATTTGGGAGAACCTTTAGAGCTCGAATCATGAAATTTGGAATGCGAATTAAGGTTGAGAAGTATGGTAGATATAAGGACGTACTCATGTTTACGATAATACTATATGGTACTATATTTAGTACAATTTTTTATTGGTGGTCCACATGGAGCTGGAATTCTGAAATTTGAAAATAACATTACCGCCGGAGTGTAGGATTGGAATGTTTACGTAGTTTTGGAAATTTTTTTACATATGTGTACGATAGTACTATATCGTACTATAATTGGTACAACTTAGATTTGGAGCTGAGATACTGAAATTATTATCATAGTTGGCGTGTAGGATTGGTGTATGTAGGGAATTTTGAAAATTCGTACTAATGTGTACTATATAGTACCAAATTTGGATTTAGGTGAACCGATAGAACTGGAATCTTGACATTTGGAGTTAGGTTCACTGTTAAGGGTAGAATTGAGCTATTTAAGAAGTTTTGGATGTATGACGTTTTGGAAATTTGTACTAAATGGTAACAAATATGATTTGGTTGGAGCGATTAAGCTGGACTCTTAAGCTCTGATGTTAGGATCACGGTTGGGGTGTACGATTGGGCTATGTAGAATGTTTTGAAAATACGTACTAAAGTGTACTAAACTTGGTACAATTTAAATTTTGGGTGAACCAATACAGCTGGAATCCTGTAATTTGACGTTAGAATTACTGTTGCGGTGTAAAATAGTAAACAAGTGAAAAAGCGTTAAGTTCGGCCGGGTCGAACTTTGGATACCCTCCACCATAGATTTACTGACAGGTACTTAAAATGAAAATATAGGGAAAATAAAAAAAGTGAACATATATCGACATTTCCACAAACCAGTTATGTAAAACACAATGTAAACTTTAAAACAAATTTCAGAAATTTTTAATGGATAATGAGGGTGTATACACTTTTACACGGTTAAAATGGTTCTAAACCACATGTTTCTTTGTGCCAAATTTGTTTCAGAAAATTTTGATTTCATCCAAACTTTGGCCATCTTATAATTTCTTCCAAACTTAGTTTAAGTTTGAAGATGGGGAATATCGGTCCACTCCTTCTGGTACCTCCCACACAGGGGCTAGGTCTAAATACGGGTTATAGTTCATATAAGGTTCATTATCGAACCTTACGTTCTAGTTTTTTATATCGATATCCTCCGCAGGTGATATGATTACAACGGAGTCTTAGAACCAAACCCAAAATGCGGAACAGATTGCATAACTATTTTAATATAAAAAAGGGGGTTATATGGGGACTACCCCAAAAAGGGGTGCATATTAATAATTTTTTGTAGGAAAATTTGTTACCAGATACGACTACAAAATACCAAATTTCAGGGAATTCGGTTGAAAAACGTGCTCAACAACCTCAAAATAGCGAAAATTGGGGGGTACCCTTATATGGGGGCTACCCGAAAAAATTGACCTATATTTATAATTTTTAGTATGTAGATTTGCTACCCAATAAGAACTCAAAGTACCGAATT